GTTATTTTACAGCTTATTAACCAAACACTACTCTGCTGCTTAAATCTATAATCTCACAGCTGCACCAAACAGGTTAACAGCTTATGTTCACAGTTATAAATCATAATTTGTTAAGTTATAATCTATAATCATTTTTTCACAGTTCTACCAAATATATATAATAATAATAATAAACACTCTTAATTAAATTAAAATATCAACTATATAAAAAAAATTCAGTAATGACTAACTACGAAAAAATCATATAACAACAAGACTCAAAAAGAAAAAAATAATAAAAACATCCAAACGATAAATACATCTCAGTGTGTGGAGTGATTAATCATCTGTAATATGATATCAAAACATAAAAGAATTTACTATTCAACAATTGAAAAAGTAACTCAAGCAGTAAATCCAAATTTTAGAGGTTACTTAAGAGTATCATTATTGTACATGTTTTTCTTCCTGTAAGTTGTGATTATATAAAATAATGTAAGAAATGAAGTGTAATTTCACATATAAAATCATTATAAAATTTAAACCACAAATCCATATTATAGATTTATAGAAAATTGATATTGGGTATAGAATAATGCACAAAAAATTAAAAAAAGATAAAAAAAAAAAAGAAGAAGAAGAAGAAGAAGAGGAAGAAGAAAAAAAGAAGAAGGTAATTTAGCATTAAAAAAAAATCATTAAAAGGATTAAGAAGAAAAACATGAAACGCAAAATTAGTATTGAGTTTGTGGATTATCTTAATTTACGATGAAAAATATATAAAAAAAATATTTATCAAATAGAATCTATATAAAATAGATAAAATTAGTATAATTTGGCAAGCTTTATGTTGGAGTAGCCATCCCATTATTGTGATTGCATACAAAAGTCCCTTAAAAACAAGGTGGATTAGTGTATATTATGAGAGAACTATGTTCATTTAAGAGAGTATAGTTAGTCAACATTTGTTTCTTCTCACGGTATATATGCAAAAACGAGATTTTAAATTTCTTTTAAGGATAGACGAGCAATCAAACAGAATGGGTTGGATCCGTGATGAAATACTATGTGAGAAAGATAAAAGCAGAAGTGCAATTTTTGAGTTCATTTGTACCGCTATTGACAAAACTTAGACCTCTTTCACTTGTTAATGTTTTAATTGTTGTTTTACACTATATCATCTTTGAATGTGTCTATCAAATAGATAATAATTATTTCACTACTTGTAAAAGATTTTAAATTAAAAATATTTTACCAAGTAAATTATTTTACTTTCAACCAAGTAGACTTTTAATTTATGAAAGCATATATAGTGACTTTTGAGTAGTTTTTCTTAAGGTAAAAATTAAACAAATCTCTTCTTTTAATTTTCAAATAATTTGGTTTTTTAAATTTGTTTTATTTATTTTTATCTCTTAAGTAGTAAATAATAAGGGTGATAAATGAACTAAACAATTTGACTTTGGCTCATGTTCGGCTCATTAAAAACTCATTCAAACTCAATTTTTTAATTGAAAGTTAAACTTAAACATATTTTAGAGTTCATTCAAGTTTTTAAATGAAATTTGAACAATTAATTGCTCGTTCGACTAGATTTCATAAGTCTAAAAGTATTTTGATTTATCTTCAATTTAAATTATTTGCCTATTTTCATTAGTAAAATCAACATAAAAAAATATTTTTTAAACTTAATGAAAAAGAGTACTTTAGATATTTTATATATACTTACATTGAGTTTAATAACTCAAAAACTCTTTTTATGTTATTTTACTTAACAAAAATAAATAAAAAATTTAGATAAAAAAAAATTAAAAAATTTGAGTTCAAATTGACAAAAATAACACACCGTGATTTTTTTATAATTAACTTTAGAAAGTACAAAAAGTAACGTATAAAAGATTTGAAAATAATGAATTAAAAATAATTTTATATTATAAGTATATACATAAAAATATGTCATTTTTATATTAATGTGAAATGATTTATCCACGCAATTTATTGTCACCCAAATTTGTGCCAATCGGGTGACTGTTGGACGATAAGTTTTACCTTCTCTGTCATTTGGACAATCAGCCGGTTGACTGGCATTGTGAGTCGGCCATGGATTCGATCTCCATTGGCTGGAACCTGGATACCCGCTTATTATTGGCAACATCGATATTCTCCACGATAGAGGCTTTGACGCTCACACCGATGGTAAAATTCATAATGATTGAGCAAAATGTTTGCATATTTAGTTGTATGTGTGTGTTTGAATCGATACTTACAGGTAGGGGATTTCTCAATTCGTATTATCCTGTTTGAAAAGAATAATGTTTGAGAGCCACAATTTGTGTGGCTCAAATGGCTCAAAACTGTTAAAACGACGTCGTTTTGGCATGTTTTGTGCTCAAAACAACGTCGTTTTGACAGTTTTGAGCCATTTGAGCCACAAAAATTGTGGCCCTCTACCATTGCCGATACCAGAATATGTATAATAGAGAGAGAAGAGGTTGGTAGTAGTATTGAAATCTTTGGATATACAAAAACATCAAATGAAGCACAGAGATGGCTCTAATACCGACAACAAAGTCCAAGATCAGTAATCTTCTGAGCATCTTAACAGCAACCCACAAAACGCCCAGTTTGGCTTCTGCTTCGTACTCTAATGGCGCTGCGAGAAAGTTTCGGGTCGCTCCATTTGGAGGTTCGGGTCGGTCATTATCGTCCTCGGTAGCTCCTCTGGAGTCGGACATGGTGAGTTTGAAGGATTACGAGGAGTATAGGAAGGCTCTGTATGGTGGCATCACTCACAAGGCTCTCTTGGTTGATGCTGTTGGCACTCTTGTTCTCCCCTCTCAGCCCATGGCCCAGGCATGCATCCCCCCCTCTCTCTAGAATTATGTACCCATTTCATTTCTCTTTATATTTCTCTATGTTGGGTTAATTTTTTTATTTATTTTTATCTCCTAAACTATCACAAAATTTGTTTTGTTTTGTTTAATTTCATTCTTAAATTATTAATTTGATTTATTTAGCTCTTAAAGTTTATAATTTCAGCTAATTATAAAAAAAAATTGTCCAAATTAATTACGGTTAAAATCTAATTTCATTTGCGGTGAGAAATGGTCATTTCAAAATTTAAACAACTAAACTAAAAACAAATTTTAAATTCACTATTTTGAAATGAAATATAGAGAAGAAGATGAGTGTTCAATTGTAGGGTGTAATGTTGAAAAGACAGTTTTAGTCCCAAATTATGTGATGTTTGTCAGTTCAATCTCTTAAAATTTAATTTTATTATTTTTATTCTCTAAATATCAATTTGAGTCAATTTAGTTTAATTTTAACATCTGTTTACATTGATAACGTGAACAATATAAACAAAAACAATTTTAGTTAAGTTTCAATTTTATTATTTTGATCATTAAAATTGTCAAGTTCAGTCTGTTTGGTCCTGGCTCCCATCATATTATGCCACATGTCTATTTACCTTGCCATACACAACATCTTTCACATTTCTCTCTTCTTTTTGTTAGTAACTCAAACCCCAAATCATGACCATCATAAGAAATAGATTAAGAGATCATTTGGGATAGGGCTAATATAGTTAGAAAGTTTTAAAAAAAGTCAAAAATTCAAAAAGTCATATGAAAAAAGTCAAAAATTCATTTTCATTCTCTCTACGTTTTTTACAATTTTTTTTGGGTAAATAAATAAAAACTTATTCCAAACATTTCAATTTTTTTACCTCACATTTTAGCTAAAAAACTAAAATAATCAATTCCCAAACCAACCCTAAGTAAAGTTGAGAGTAGTGGCTAATAGATGAAATTTGATTAATCTAGAAAGGTGTTATAGTCATTTAACCATTTCATTTGACAGAGGTAGCTAGCAAGGAATGCCAGTGTAATTTTAAGGATTAAAGGGAGTGACACTGATTAAAAAAAAGTATCAGTAAAAAAAAAGAAAAAAAAAAAAAAGAAAAAGAGGGGCCATCGGTGTAATTTACTCTAAAAACAAGGATACAATACTTTTCTTGTTATCAATGTAGACAGACGTTAAATGATATGACCAAATTGACTCAAATTGACAATTTCAATGACCAAAATGACAAAATTGAAATTGAAAGGACTAAAATGACAAGGAACACAACACATACTTTAGAGATTAAAACTGTATTTTACTTTTATTTCTCATTATTAATGTAGACAGACGTTAGAGTTATAACTAAATTGATTCAAATTGACAACTTTGAGGACCACCGAGTTGAATAAATTTATAATTTTACGCTGGAAATTATGACACATGTCACTTATGAACATATTTTTCATATAAAAATATGAATAGTTGTAATCAATTATATTGAATTGAGACAAAATCATAAATTTCAGGGTCAAAATAATGCCAACTAAAATAGGGACCAAAATGATAAGGCCAAAATATAGGGAGGTGTTCATGGGTCGGTTTGGTTCAGTTTGGCACTAAATTTAGAACCAATCGGTTCCAAAATTTTGGACCCAAAACAAAACCAATCATGCACTAGAACCAACCCCACCCACCCCAACCCAACCCAATATAGTTTGGGTTGGTTTGGGTTAAAACCACGGTTCCACTATATTAAAAATAAGTGAATCAATCAATAATAAATAATTAAAATAAACAAGTCTTTAATATTTTAACATAATACAAATGAAAAACATTATTTGATGCAAATAAATACAAATTAAATCCAACTCAAACTTAAACATAACCAATATCAATAAAATCCATTAATACAACCAATGCAAATTAAATAGATTACGAAATTGACTCAAACTTCTAGTTCTTCCTTTGTTCACCTAAAAATTCTTGTATGCGGAAAATTATTAGGTACAATCAAGTCCATTGTAATAGACCAATTAATATAAAAAAAATTCGACAAATATATATATATATATATAAATAGGTTCAGTTTTCGGATTGGTTCGGTTTAGGCAAGGCCTAAACCAAGAACCAACACAATCCTATCGGTTTGATAATTTGAAGACCCAAAACCAAACTAATGCACTGAAAAACCAAACCAACCCAACCCAACCCAAAGAGGTCGGTTTGGTTCGGTTCTTTGGTTCACTGGTTATTTTGAACATCCTAGGGACTACCGTCGTAATGTGCTCTAGAAAAATATGACAATGGTTTAGAGGATAAAGGTGAAATTAACCTCTCTACATTCAGAATTCATATATTTGTCAACGTAACTTTCTCTGTATACATATATATATGCATTAAATATATCTCATTGCTTTCTCTTTCTTAATGTGTTTATGTTGCAAATTTATGGACAGATTGGTGAGAAATATGGCATTCAGTACTCAGAAACTAAGATATTAAACAGATACAGGAAGGCTTATGAGCAGCCTTGGGGCAGATCTCGACTCAGGTGATTTATTGTCCTTGACAAGTTTGAACATATCATTGCTAGTTTCTGAATTAATTTAGTTTGCATGGTTGGATTTGAAAATAGTTGGGAGTTACATAGAGGATTAAATGTGATTTTTGATGACCCATATTTGATTCATTTTTGTACGATATGAAAAGCAAGAATTATAACTTTCTTTTGTTTAAGTTATGATAATTAGAGAGGTGGGTTCTGTGTTTCAATTGCATCTAATTATGTATTATGATTATGACCATTTTTTGCTTTATATAAGGGTATGCTTTCCTTTTCACCAACTATAGGTTTCCTATTCTAACCATTAAAACAGAGAACTATGTAACTTGAATGTTATTAATTAGCTGATTTTATACCAAACCTATCCTTTTATTCACTAATACGGTACTAGAGTAATTAAAGCTTTTTAGGATATCCATGTTGGTTGAACATGTATAGAATCATTCAATTCTGATATTTCGGAGGAGCCAGAGTTTTCTTATGGTAAGACATGGGTCACAATTTTTTATATATAGGTCTCAAAATTAATTTAATCTAGTGTTGTGGGTTTTCTTTCAGAGAAAGAAAATTTGACACTTGAAGACTCTCTTATCTTTTCGTTTACTAGCTGGACTCAATTTGTCACCCTCAATAAAGGAGTCATTTACTTATTCAAAAAGTTGCTTTGTTGTTATTTTAATAGTTTTTTGGTGATTATAGTTTTTTTTTTTTTTTAGGTAATAAGGAAAGTTAAACAACAGAAAAAAGAAAAGAAAAGAGAGGGTTAATCCCTCTCATACACAATTCCAACCATATCAGCCACTAGAATGGGCCTTAACAAAATAGGAGGGTCTTCATAGATCTTCAAATCTTCCACTTGGTTTTCTCCCATATGAGCAAGGGTATCTACGCACTGATTGGTTTCTCGAAAAATGTGTTTGATAATGCAGTCCATACGTGAAGTAAGGAATTTAATGTCTTCCACAAGAGCACGGTAAGGGCAATTTAGATTAGCTCTTTCATTGATGAGGTTGACAGCATCTTGACAGTCTGTTTCAATTATCACATTTCTTCAACCTTTTTCATGAATGGTGGTTGTTCCGCGATAAATAGCCCATATTTCTGCTTCAAGGCTTGTTGCTACATCCAACTTTCCAGAGTATCCCAGAATCCAAGAACTTTTTGCATCTCTAAAGAGTCCTCCAAAACCAGCTTTTCCCAAACTTTCCTTGACACATCCATCAGCATTTAGCTTGATATTACCTGTAGAAGGAGGCAACCAATTGATTAGTTTAATTCTTTGATGATCAGAGCTTAGGGGGCATTGGAAAGCCTCATGGATCTCTTGAGTATACTGGAACACTAGGCGTAAGCTGTCACTAATGTGAACATCACAATTATCAAAAACAGTTTTATTCCTACCTTTCCAGATAAACCAAAGGGTGATAGTGAACCATATGTTCCAGTTGATACTTGCAAGTTTAGTTCAATCACAAAGATTAAAAGAAAGCCAAACATCTAGAGGCTTATCAATGCCATCCCTAATCCATTGATCATTTTTCAAATTTTTCCACAACTCCCTTGAGTAATAGCAATCTCTAAGGAGGTGGCTCATGCTTTCCCCATTAGAATGGCATCTAGGACAAAGATCATTGCTGTCAAAACCTCTGCTGACTTTGAGTTGGTTTGTGAGGAGTCGGCCATGCATAACAAGCCATAAGAAGCCTTTGAGTTTTTGAGGAATTTTTATTTTCCAAATCCAATTCCAACAAAAGTTATGATCTTCAACATTAATGATGAGGTCATAAGCAGATTTGGAAGAGAATCTACCTTGGGGAGAACCTGTCCAGTGGGGTTTATCAGGAAAAGTCACAAACTGGGGAAGTTTGACTTTATGGATGCTAGCAATGTCAGTAGGTGAAAGGTGACTAGCAATCGGGTTCAAATTCCAGTCCCCCTCCTCACTAATGATAGTGTTGACAGTGTTATGAGTGTTAGTGTAAGGGCCAGGAGAAGTATTAGCTAAAGGTTGGGTTCCGCACCCCTAGTCATTCCAAAGAGAAGCTTTATTACCATCCCCAATAGTCCATTTGGTACCTAGTCTAAGAGTATCTCTAGTTTTGACAATGCTTTTCCACAAGGGAGAGCCTCTCTTACCCAAAGGCCAGTCAAAAAGGGAGTGTTTATGGAGGTACTTCTTTTTCAAGATAACAGTCCACAGGCTATGATCATCATTAAGGATCTTCCAACCTAGTTTGGCAATGAGGGCATGATTATGGTGGCTAGCTTTTCTAATGCCAAGCCCCCCTTTATTTTTAGGTAAGCAAACTTGGTCCCAATTAATGAGGTGAATTTTTTTCTTGAAAGTAGAGTCGCCCCAAAGAAAATTTCTGTTTAATTTGTCAATGTTATTGCAAAGGTTTTTGGGGAGCTCAATGGTTTGCATAGCATAAGAGGGCATGGCTAAGGTGACAGATTGGATGAGGGTTGCTCTACCAGCCAAGGAGAGTGTATTAGTTTTCCAACAAGAGAGCTTTTTGTGCATTTTTTCAATGATGAATTGGAATTGAGCTCTATTGACACGGTTGTGAAGAAGAGGAGTGCCAAGGTATTTACCAAGATCTTGAGTGAGAGGAATACCACAATGGTGGCTAAGATTTCGAGCCTTATTCCTAGAGACATTAGCAGAGATAAAAAGCTTGGACTTATGAAAATTGATTTTTTGGCCAGAAATATCACAAAAATCATTCAAAACTTCCATCACCACATCACAATTAACCATATTCGCTTGGGCAAAAAGAATGAGGTCATCAACAAAGAAAGGTGAGTTAGAGGAGGGCAGTTATTAGAGGCTTTAATCCCTCTCCAATCACCAGAATCAACCTTAAGATTGATCATGTTAGAGAGCCTTTCCATGCAAAGGACAAAAATATAGGGAGAAAGGGGATCGCCCTGTCTGATGCCTCTACCAGTGTGAAAAGCTGGCAAGGCTTCACCATTCCATAAAATAGCAGTGTTCACAGAAGAGATACAGCTCATAATAAGATCAATCAAGTCTTTATTAAAATTAAATTCACCATGGGTATTAAAAATAAAGTCCCAAGTGATCCTATCCAAAGCTTTTTCAAGGTCAATTTTTAGAATCATATCGCCAAGTTTGCCTTTTTTATGTCTCAAAGTGTGAAGAATTTCTTGGGTAATGATGATGTTATCAGTGGTTGATCTACCAGAAATAAAGCTACTTTGATTGGGGCTGATAATCTGATCAAGGAGAGGTCTAATTCTGTTAACAATAATTTTAGTGATTATTTTGTAGCTCACATTGCAAAGGCTGATAGGCCTAAATTGCTTTATATTCTCAGGGTTATCAATTTTGGGAATCAAAGTGATCAAGGTTTCATTAGCCTCGGTAGGAATTTCTTTATTGGCAAAGCAATTTTTAACAAACATACAAACAGATGGACCAACAATGTTCCAAAATTTATGATAAAAGATGCCTTGAACACCATCAGGGCTAGGGGCTTTAAAGGCCCCAATGTTCTTAACAGTGTTCCAGATCTCTTTATCACTAACAGGTTGCTTAAGATGATGATTCTTTTCTTCGCTGATTTTAACTTTGGCAATGTTATTGTAATGCTCAAGAGTTAGGACATCTTCATGACTAAAGAGATTGCGAAAATAATTAATAACAAGGGATTTCAAGTCATTGGGGTTGTTAATCCAGATACCATTATCATCACAAAGCATGCAGATTCTAAGTTTTCTTCTTCTAGTGATGGTAGCCATGTGAAAATACTTGGTATTTCTTTCCCATTGGGTGAGCCACTTAACTCTAGATTTTTGATACCAAGGATTTCCTCTTGGCGAAGAACAAGATTGAATTCTTTTATGAGGTCTTTTTCAAGGAGAAACATGTTGTGAGTAAACATAGAGTCTTGGGCTTTTTGAATACCTTCAATGCGAGATAACAGTCTCTTTTTTTTATGAAAAATGTTGCGAAAAATGTCTTTGTTCCAGATTTTAGCTTTAGACATCATGAAGTTGGTTTTATCAATCAAGGAAGAGTTACATTCATTCCAAGCATTTTGAATAACTTCTTTAAAATTAGGATGGGTGATCCAAGCAGCTTCAAATCTAAAAAGTCTATTACTGGAGTAGGGGTAGAGTTCATACCTTCAATGTAGACCACCAACGGAGCATGGCCTGAGTATGTTCGGGGAAGATTCCGGACACAACTTTCAGGGAATGCGTTCATCCATTGAGTGTTGCAAAGAGCACAATCAAGTCTTTCTTTGGTATTGGCTAATCCTTGACGATTATTGGTCCAAGTGAGTTTTGGACCAGAACAGCCCATGTCCATGAGGTTGCAGTTGTTGAATCTTTCAAGAAATTTCGAATTCCTACTCGTATTAGTATTGAGGGTGAAACTTCTTCTTTCCTCTTGATTAGCAAAATCATTAAAGTCACCTGCCACTAGCCAAGGGCTTTGAATGTCTTCAGAGATAGCTTCAATGCCTTCCTATAGAGCATCTCTATTTCTGGGATTAGGACTAGCATACACGGCTGAAAGAACCCATTCCTCGTAATCCACTCTGTTGATTGTGGCATGAATTACTTGGTTGTTGGCTTCGAATACATTAACACTGACTTGTGAGGGCTCCCATAAGAGCCAAATTCCTCCAGCTCTACCATTCGGATCAACACTAGATGAGGCAGTGAAGCCCAAGTTGTTGAAAACGTGCCCATAGAACTAAGTGTGACTTTGGTTTCCATGAGAATTATCATATCAGGTTTGTGGTTTCGGATGAGATCCTGGATGTTTCTTTTGAAGGTGTTATTGCCGGCCCCCCGGCAGTTCTAGATAAGCAAATTCATTGATCCCTTATTGGGAAGTTCTAGGGGAGTGTTGAAGTCTGGTTGACCCATGATGTGATTAACTCTCTTGTAATCGTCCAGAGTGGACTTCATTGATGCTAGTTTCACCAAGTGTTGAATGTGGCCTGAGAGGCATTTCTATCTTGGTTTGATACTCATCCTTGCTTGTTCTACCCACCATTCTACGACGACTAGGCGAGTTGCTTCGGTTTCTGGCTCGATGAACAAACTCACATTGTTGTATTTCATGCGATGGTGGGTCGGTTCCGTTGGATCCATGACGAATTGAGGTATCAGGGGGTCTTTCTTTAAGGTTAGATTGAACTGGAGATAAATGAGAGTGATGATGTTGGGTGAGATTGGAGTTTAGATCATTTGCTGGTTGGTTATGGTTTGGAGAGGAAAGAGAGTTATGAAAATTTTCCATCTCTGTTGAGGTTGTAGAAGTAGACGTAGGGTGGACAGAAGCAGCAGCTTTATTTCTCTTCGTTGCAGTATCAACTTTATTACTCTTCATTGCAGGTTTCTCAGAAGGAGATAAGGCATTGACGGTGGTGATTTGCACTTTAGGGATTGTGTCTACATCCGACGTCAATAACATATCTCTATCCATACAAGAGGAAACTGGCTGATTTTCTGTGGCTGTAAAAACAGTGTTGGGTTTAGAAGTAGAGGGTTGAGTTTGGGCCATTTTAGCTTTGTGTTTAGGTTCAGAATGTTTGTATTTGAATGGGCCTTCTTTAGCATTTTGTAGCGGACCAAATCTGTTCTTCTCCAAATTGGGTTGGTTGGTTATAGGTTTTTTTCCCTTGGTTTGGTCTTTTGGGCTTTCGAGCTACTAGCATCCATGGCCCATACTTAGTTTCGTCTGATCCGGACTCCATAGTTTCAGCGGAAGCTGAGTTTTCCACGCGCCGGTGTGCGTTGGTGCTGTCTAAAGCTTCTGTGGACTTGTCTCGTAGTTGGAGTCCTTCCACAGTGCTCTTGCCGGTGACCCACCCTGCCACAAGAAAAGAAAAAAAGGGGTAAGTGTTCATATTCTATATTATAGACATATTTACCTATAGTGAATTACGAAGTTAGCGGGTTTCCCAGGTTGATTTCTACACAAACTCTAGCATAGCGCCCTCTGGTTGTTGTAGCAGTGTTGAGATCAACTTTGATTGGTTTGCCAATTAGCTTGGCTATGTGGAAGAGGACCTTTTCATTGTAGTATTCAATAGGCAATTGTGGGAACCTCACCCACACAACTGTGGAGATGTCTTCAGCTACAGATGGCTTGAAATCTGCCTTCCATTTTCTCACAGTCAAATAGTAATCTAAAATAACCCATGGGCCTCCTGTGAATACTTTTGTGAAATCTGACTTTACCTCAAACTTGAATAGGAAAAATCCTAATCCCATATCAACAGCTTCGAAATCACCTTGGATTTCCCACAGCCTCTTGACCCTATTTAGAAGAGCTTTGTAACCTATGCTCATGCCCATTAATTTAACAATTAAGCAATCCTTCCATGGCCTTCGGATTTTCTTTAAAAGGCTTTGAGGGAGAAGGACTCTGGGTATAGAGGTGCTGAGATTTGAGTCCGCCGCAGGTAAGTCTTCCATTTCTCCATCACTCATGAGCTCATCGTCGGTAGAGAGATTGTCCGCATCACTATCGAAAAGTTTTTCGTTGAATTTTGGGTCTAGCAACACTTGCTTGAAGGATTTTTGCTGGATTTCAGTTTCTTGGGCCCTAATACGTTGATCCCCTTTTGCAATTGGATGGGTTGGGGACGAATCTTCAATTGCGTTTGCAGAGGGGTCAAGCATTTGAGCATCAGCTGCAGTGGACAGGGTATTAGGCTTAGGTTCCTCTACAATGGTCACTGGTTGGCAACCAGCAAGGAGAGGGGGAGGATTCGGTGAAATCTCAACCATAGGGTGATCTTCATTGATGATCGGAGGGTCGGGATCATTAGAGATTGTTCCGGCAGAGATCAGAGTGATCTCACCGGAAGAGGCCATCGTTGGTGCGTAGATCTCAAGCTATCCATTAGAGAGAGATGATACCCATTAGAGAGAGACTTTGTGTTCCTCGTGTGATTATAGTTAATTTATCTATATTGAGCTTGCATAGAGTTGCTACACAAAATTGAACTTGTATTTCATAAACTTCTCTCAAATGTAAATGAGTGGCAAGATGAATCGATAAGTTAATCACTCTCTATTAGCTTTGGCTTTTAGAGTACTAGTTGTCTGATTGCATGGTGATAGAGCCAGTAGGATCTTTATCAATTTGAAATCCTTCCTGGACCCTAGTTAGGTACATCTCTTTTGTGAATCTATGTTACATGGACTTGGGTATAGGTGTCCAGTGTGTGGATGCGTTTCTAGGGATCCAAATCTCAAATTTAAACGCACACGGACTCGGCATAAAAAGGGTCATATTTATATATTTTAATTGTTTATGTGAGATAAAATTATTTTGTTATATGTAACATTAATGTACATTGTCAAAAAGGTATTTTATGCCTTTTATAGCTATTATACAACAAAAATATACATAATGATAGTGTTAAATACAAATATTATTAAATATATAAGTGTCTTGATAGAAAGTATGAGACACATAGCGCACACCCTTGTCAAAGTGTTAGGTGTGTAATATGAGTGTTTGATTTAGTTTTAAGAGTCCAGGTAACATAGATGTGCATGCCTCACTCATGAGGAGTATGGTAAAGTTTGAGGGGCACATGGTGGAATAAATATATGAATCACGTCATTCTATATGGCTTAAACTTTTACGGTAATCGGTTTTTAATATTAGTTACTTTATTATCGTTGATCAGGATTGCATCTTGCACGGACTTCTTGAAGATATATAAGATGCTATTTCTAGACTTTCTAATTGAAATTCTTCTAGGCATTTTGTTTGTTCAACTCTCGGGACATTTTAGACATTGTTCCCCTTAATTAGTTTACAATAATACAAGTAGTAAAAAAGTTTCATCCCCCTTTTCTACAAAGGTAAAAGTTTTCTCCATTTATATTTTGCAAAATATTATTTTCTTCTAATAGGCGATAACAATTTATACATGTGTGTTTACTAAATTGCAGATATGTTAACGATGGGAGACCATTCTGGCAATATATAGTCAGTTCTTCAACTGGCTGTTCGGATTCTCAGTACTTTGAGGAGTTGTACAATTATTATACCACTAAAAAGGTTAGCTTCGAGGCATTGATTGGTTACAATTGTTTTGGGATTATTGAATGCATTTTTTTTCCCCTTGGAATAAAAAGTGAGGTAAATACTTCCAAAATGCTAACCAAACCTTGCCTGATATATTAATTGACACTTATAACTACTTTTACCATCTTAATTTTAAGTCAATTTTCATTTGTTTCTATCCAAAAGCATGGCACCTCTGTGATCCTGATGCGGAAAAAGTATTTAAGACCCTAAGGAATGCAGGTGTAAAATTGGCTGTTGTGTCAAACTTTGACACTCGATTGAGGCCTGTTTTGCGGGCTCTAAATTGTGATTACTGGTGTGATACTGTGGCAGTATCAGCTGAAGTAAGTATCGGTCTATTTATTTTTTTCCTTTCATTCTTCCTATGGCATTGTTCAATTTCTCTCTTTCTCCACGAACAGGTTGAAGCAGAGAAGCCAAATCCGACCATATTTATAAAAGCTTGTGAGTTGTTGGGAGTAAAGCCTGAGGATGTTGTTCATGTGGGGGATGATTGTAGAAACGATATATGGGGTGCTAGAGATGCAGGTTGTGATGCTTGGCTATGGAGAAGTGATGTACATTCCTTCAAAGAGGTATCATTAACTACTTCACTTCTATTGCTTGATAGCAAACTACATGAGCCACATGCCTTTTTGCTATGCATCTCTCTCTCCCTCTCTCTCTCTCTCTCTGCATTTAGCAACTGTCTTCTTTTGACTTGTTATAGCTTCAGAATTCAATATGCTTTTGTTGCATTTATGTATGTTAAATAGCTAAAAGACCCACAAGCCCCTGCGGCGAGATCACTCAAAACTCTAAAGCTACATGATTATTTTATTTTATTTTGGATTGGGAAAAATGATAAAAATTTATGGGGCTATGTTATACGTGTATTTTTGTAGGTTATATTGGGCTAGATAGTGCTGAATAATACTGAAACAAGAACTTTGATAAGGTGCAATTGTATTTCATATTCTGCTATGGAGCACAATGATATACTAAAATAAAAGAGGATGTCTTTTTGAATGTAGTGTTGTGTTGGTGTTAGTTACATGTCCAATACATGTTCAACATAGATAGGCAAATTTATCGCATGGTTATTGGGCTTTTTTTACCTCGGTCTCACCAAAAGTGGGGTCAAGGGGTTACTCTTAATAAAAAAATAAATAAAATGAAAAAAAGATAGGCAAATTTATGAGAATCTAGTGTGGATTTAACCCATGGCTTTGTGCCACAGTGGTATGGTCTACAATCCCTATAGTGGAGATTGTGGGTTCGCGCTTCATGTGGTGTTGGGGCTGATCTTTTTTAAAATAGGCTAGTGTAGGTTCTAATGAGTGAAAAAAAAAAGAAAAAGGGGGAGTGTGAATTTAAGTGATTATAAACAAAACAAAATTTGGAAAATAGTTGTGAGGATACAATATGTACAAGGTGTACATTGTGTGTACTGAGATTCACAAGGCTGCTGCTAAACATTTAGGTACCGTTTGGCAACGTTTACAGTTTACTATTTTTTATTTACAAAAAACATTAAGCATGTTCATATTTATTTTGGATAAAAATAGCTGAGGGAGGTGTTTGCCGAAGGTAGTTAACGGAGGAGGTCATTGGTGATGGTAGCCAATAGCAAGGTGGGTTTGGAGCGGATTTGTCATCCTCCATCCCCACTCCATTGTAAGATTTCTGAATAGCTTTCTGTATCTCATATATTCAATGTGTATTAATTATAATCAGACCTTAGAATATATATAGCCCTAACTCCTAAACCAAAAAGGAAATACAAATACAATACTATCATGACTCTAATACAATCATGCCTCTAATAGGACTCTTAAGTTTAATTTGTAAGACTCACAATATATTCTCACACCCCCGTTCTAGCTCAAGGTGTTTTAGCAGAAAACACGGAGAGTTTGCTAAGAAGAAATTGAAACCGAGCAGTAGTGTGAGTCTTGGTGAAAAAGTCCGCAAGTTGCAAAGCTGAAGGGATAAAAGGAAGTAAGATAGAGGCAGACTGCAGATGTTGGCGAACAAAGTGACAATCAATCTCAATGTGTTTTGTCCGCTCATGGAAGACAGTATTGTGGGCAATTTGAACAGCACTGCGGTTGTCACAATAGAGAGAGGTCGGAAAAGACTGAGAGACACCCAAATCAGACAAAAGACAACGAAGCCAAACAATCTTAGCAGTGGCATGAGCCATAGCACGATACTCAGCTTCGGCAGTAGAGTGGGCAACGACTGATTGTTTCTTACTTTTCCAAGAGATCAAGGAAACACCAAGAAACATACAGAAACCAGACGTAGACTTGCGATCAGTAACATCACCAGCCCAATCAGAGTCAGCATAGGCCACCAGGTCCAAAGAGGAAGTAAAGGATAATAGTAAGCCTTGAAATATGATACCCCTGAGATAGTGAAGAATGCGAACCAATGCAGCCCAATGGGTAGAGCGAGGAGCAGAAACAAACTGACTAACCACATGAATGGCATAAGCAAGATCAGGGCGAGTGACCGTCAGATAAACTAAACAACCCACAAACTCGCGATATAAAGTAGGATCATCCAGAGGGACACCATCAGTAGAATTAAGCTTCACATTAAGCTCAATAAGTGTATCAGAAATCTTAGAATCGGTAAGACTAGCACGGTAAATGACTTCATTAGCATACTTAGCCTAAGACAAAAAATAGCCCTTTGGAGAAGAAACAACCTTAATACCCAGAAAATATCGTAATGGACCCAGATCTTTCATTTCGATGGTGCAGAAGAGATGCTGCTTGACCTCAGAGATAGCAGAAGAGTCAGAGTCAGTGATGATCATATCATCCACATAGAGTAAGAGAGCAACAAAACCAGCCGATGCATGTCTCAGAAATAAAGCAGAGTCGGAAGCAGAACAATGAAACCCAAGCTCGGTAACAACAGTCTGAAAGCGATCATACCAAGCACGAGGAGACTGCTTCAGACCATACAGAGTACGCCGAAGATGACAAACTTGGCCAGAGGAATGGGGAAGACCAGGAGGAGGACGCATGTAAACCTCCTCAGTGAGATGGCCATTAAGAAAAGCATTCTTAACATCCATCTGATAAAGAGGCCAAGAATGAAAAGCAGCGATAGAGATCAAAGTACGGACAGTAATCATATTGGCAACAGGAGCAAATGTTTCCTTATAATCAATACCATACTCCTGAGAGAAACCTTTGGCAACCAGACGAGCTTTGTAGCGCTCAAGAGACCCATCAGAATGAGTCTTGACTTTGTAGACCCATTGGCAACCAACCAAGTTCTTACCAGCAGGCAAAGGAACTAGCTCCCAAGTACTAATTTTTTGTAGAGCAGACAACTCATCTTCCATAGCGTGAACCCAATGAGGGTCCTGACATGCCTCTTTGTAAGACTGAGGTTCTGAAAAAGAGTGATTAGCAGACAAAAAAGTAAGATAGGAAGCAGAAAAACATGTAGTAGACCAACGTAACCTGTTTGGAGGATGACGCGCTGGAGTAGGATATCGGTGTGCAGCAGGATCAGAGTCGGCAGCAGTAGGAGGATCAACAGTAGGGGTAGAGACAACTGGTGGAGGAGGAGTCTTGCGACGAGAATAAACTAACAACGGAGAAGGAGAACAAACTGAAGAAGGAGAAGTAGCCAGAGGTGAAGTAGGAGGAGAAGATGAAACAAGCTCATAAGGAATTATGGAGATGTACTCATCAGACGGTACCTCAGAAGGAAATGGGTTGATGTGAACCAAATCCTCTTTGGAAGCTGGAGCAGTGACAGGAGGAAGCTGAAAGTAAGGCAGACGTTTGAGAAAAGAAACATGACGGGAGACAAAAAGACAACGGGAAACAGGGTCGTAACACCGATAGCCCTTCTGAGTAGGACTATAACCCAAAAAGACACAGAGGACAGACTGGGCACTAAGTTTGGTCCTATCTTTGCGAGGAATAAGGACAAAACAGGCAGACCCAAACACATGAAGGAGGGAGTAGTTAGGAAGTTGGGAGAATAAAGCCTCATAAGGAGACCGGCCAGAAAGAATGGGAGTAGGCATGCGATTGAGAAGAAAAGTAGCAGTAAGAACTGCCTCCCCCCAGAATGGAGCCGGAACTGAGGCAGAGAGAAGAGACCTAGCTGTCTCAAGGGGATGACGGTGTTTACGCTCAGCGCGACCATTTTGGGCAGGTGTATTTGTACAGGAAGTTTGGTGAATGGTACCCAAATTGGCCAAATACTCACAAAACTCAATTTTAAAATATTTCCCACCTAAGTCAGACCGTAACACTTTAATAGTAGACCCAAATTGTGTAGTAATCATAGACTAAAAGGTACAGTATATCTGATAGAAATCGGACTTATGAGTCATAAGATAAACCAAAGTGTAACGGGTGCAGTCATCAACAAATGACACATAGTATGCAGAATCTCCTTTGGTGAGAACAGGAGAAGGGCCCTAAACATCAGTATGAACTAAAGAAAATGGTATATCAGATATAGAAGTGCTTTTACGAAAAGGTAAGGCTGTCATCTTGGCGAGTTTGTACGCCTGACATTCAGTAAGTTCACTAGGAGAAACGTTTCCCAAGATACTTGATTGAGCCAAAGACCGTAAGCGGTCAGCAGAAAAATGCCCTAATCTAGAATGCCACAAGTAGAAAGGACTGGACAGAGAATCTAACTGAAAAGAGGAAAAGGCAATCGAAGAGGTTGTCAAAGGTATATGCAAGCTCTCTACCACACAGAGGTCCCCAACTCTACGACCAGTCCTAATTTGCTGTTTAGACATCCGATCTTGCACAGAACAGGTAGAAGAGGAAAAGATAACATCAAAACCAGAGGCATCAAGTTGATTGATAGATAATAAACTGACAGATAATTGAGGAACATAAAGAACAGATGGAATAGAGACAGCAGACATAGCAGACTGTAGGACAAACCCAACAAATATAACAGATATACCAGACCCATTAGTAGCATTGACAGTAATAGGAAAAGGAGGAGGAGTGCAATTTTGAAGTAAGGAGAGATGAGGAGTCATATGATGAGAGGCACTAGAGTCAAAAAGCCAGACAGATGAAATACCTGAAGAAGACCTAAGCAAACCTGAATGAGGAGAGGAAACAATGGAGGCAGACATAGATGGCTGGGAGGTACACAATGTATGTTGAAACTGACTAATCTGAGCAGTCAAGGAAGTTAAGTCAGGATCAGGAGCCGGAGTAGATATAGTAGAATTGGTGGGAGGCCAAACGGTACTCAAAGGAGGAGCGTAGAACTTAATCGGCAATTGCTGAGAAGACGAGGCAAACACAGACAAAGCAGACAAACATCCCTTCTTGGGACAATGATACTTCCAATGACCTCTTTGATGGCAGTAGGCACATTCATCCGAAGCCAGAGACATCATAATAACTAGAAAACTAAGGTGTTCAAGTGTACCCAAAATTTTGTAGGGTTAAAATGCAATAACAGATAACTGAGTGGCCAAAGAAGAGTCCATTTTTTTTTTTTTTTTAATAAAACAGAGTTTATATGAGAGGTATATATTTATACCACCAGATGATCAAATAACAGTGATAGAGAGAGAACTGGACCAGTCGAAACAGAGAGCAAGCACCAGTCGAAACAGAGAGAGAAGGCAGCTTGATGTCGCTATGACCTAACCTCGCGAGTCTAGCAATGGCAGCGACTCAACTTCACGAGTCCAACGACAGATCACGAACCAGAGAAGATTCAAAAGACAGGACGGAGTCGTGATGGCTGAAGACGATCGCGGGGTGAGTCGTGATGGCTGTGGACGACGGTGGAAGATGATCGCGACTTGAATCAGAAGCACGGTGATGACGTTCGCGAACCAAAAGGACCAGAACTGAGCCGCGACGAAGCACGGGCTGAAGCTGATCTCGAGTTGCCGATGATGACTAAAGACGTGACCCACGAACCAGAGAGACCCACGAACCCTAAGTCGCGACCGTGAAGAAGACCAAAGAACAGAGACGACTTCGAACAATCGGCGACAACTTCGAACAACAAGCGTGGACTTAGGGTTTCGAACAAGGCTTTGATACCATGTAAGATTTTTGAATAGCTTTCTGTATCTCATATATTCAATGTGTATTAATTACAATCAGACCTTAGAATATATATAGCCCTAACTCCTAAACCAAAAAGGAAATACAAATAAAATACTATCATGACTCTAATACAATCATGCCTCTAATAGGACTCTAAGTTTAATTTGTAAGACTCACAATATATTTCACAATATATTCTCACATATCATATTGGGGGCGGGGCAAGAGTACTGAAGGGGCGGGTTAATTTTGTTGCTTTAAAAATAAAGAAGTTAACAAAAATTAAAGGTAATATAGTATATTATATATAATAATTTATAATTAATGAGAGTTAAAAGATGTAATATGATAAATAAATGAGTGAAAATGAATATTAAGTATAAAATTTTAATAGCTTAATTTTATTATTAAAAAAATAAAATCATATATATTTTATATATATATATATATTTAATAAAAAAAATTGAGGCATAGAGGAGTAGATCAGGACGGGGAAAGTTTAAATATGTATAGTTTTCAAGTTTACTCAACCAAGTTGCCAAATAGGGATGGATACACTCATGAACTACGATGTTAAAGGCATGATACAGTAATGAACTTATTGCATTTCTTGATGTAGGTTGCTCAAAGGATAGGAGTTCGGGTCTGAATAGGACTATTCCCTTCCAACAACTTGACGAGGGCTTTCTTTCATTGTATATATAGAGAGGCTTCTTATCCAGTATTTCTTCATAACCAGTTGTATATATTCTGCTTTTCTGTAATCTGTATGAGAGATATCAGAGATGAATATACAATTACTTTAACTTCAGAATAAATGGCAATAAAAGAACATTTTTAGTGAGAGCTTTTTGTTTTTCTATTCTACATATATATGTATATATATTTTCACAAGATGGCTTCCATTAGATAGATAATTAAATGTTCACATAAGTATCTCACAGATACATTTTTCATCACCCTTACATGTTTGGTACGAATGAATGGAATGAAGTGGGAATGAAATGAGAGTGAGAATGAAATGGAATGTTCATTCTCATTTCATTGTTTGGTTGTCAACATGGAATGACATAAGAATAAAATGATAATTCTCATTCTCATTCTCATATTTGGTTATGCCTATTAAACTAATCGAATGAAATAAGTTTTTATTTATTATTTATTTATTTTTAATAAGGTAGTAACAAATAACTTAAAAATTTATATAGATCACAATAGTGTTGATTGTTGTAGAAGAGAAGGTGTGAGCCATGGTAGTGGTGGCGACAGTGACAGCATCATCAGTGGTGATAAAAATGATAGTAGAATGGTGGTTGTGGTGGTGGTGGGCGTGGGCGTGGGCGTGGGCAACATTATAGAGTGGTGGTTCTCACGATGGTTGTGGTGGTGTGGTTTTTGTGAAGGTGTTGGTAGTGGTGGTAAGGTAGTGGTTGTGGTGGTGGAGGTAGTGGTAGTAGTGGTAGTGGTGGTGGAAGCAATGGTAATAGGGTAGTGGTTCTAGTAATAATGGTGGCAAAGGTGGTGGTGGTTTGGTGGCTGTAGAGGTAGTGGTAGTGATTGTGGTCATAACGATAGTAAAGTGGTCGTGGTATGGCGGTATGGTGGTTGTATGGTAGTGGTGGCAATAGGGTTAGGGGGGGTGGTCGGGGTGTTGGCAATAGAAAAAGATAACTTAGGACAAAATCAAAATTTAGAAAAAATGTGACATTTTTGGGTGTTCCCAAACAGATATGCTCCATATACTTTGTAATAAGGCCTTGTTTGGGAAGGTGGGTTTATAGCTAAAAAGGCACTATAAATTCTTATATTACTCTCTATTTTTTGTATTTTTTGTATTTTTTTTTTGTTGTAAAAAGTTAAAAAGAAAGCTATAATAACATATTCCTAAACAGCTCCTAAATAATTATGTGTTCATAAATAGAATTTTAATTTAAAAGTTCAACAGTATAACCAATGTAATGAAAGCAAATAAAAATCGTAGCACGTTCATCAAAATGAAAATGAATGATGATACACTGGGAATTCTGGTTTAGAGAAGCCACAAGACACATTGTTCTCTTGCTTGAAAAATAATATAGAACAAAAAAATTTAATGAACATTTTTTTTTGAATGTACAGAGAGCTTAATAACCACAATATTGAGCATTGCCATCATTACTATCATCAAAAGTCATTGTTGGTAAGGCTTGTTCCCTTCGCCTATTTGACTTAGGTTCGAGTCCCGCTGACGGCAGTTCTTTGTTGGTGGGCGATATTGCGTAATGCTTTTCCTAGCCCTGGAGTGGGGGTAGCCTCCCCTCCTCCTAAACTTTTTGTTGAATTGAAAAAAAAAAACAAGTCATCCCCATCACTATCATCAGAAGTCTCATAAGTTTCTTCATTTTCTCCTTCCTATTGCTGCTTATGCAATTGTTCTTCTTGTTGCTACAACAAAGGAATACAAAAAATAAACAAATAAAATCACTTCTTCTTCTTGTTGCTGCTTTTGCAATTGTTCTTGTTGTTGCTACAACATAAAATAATAAAAAAATAAATAAATCCACCAGAACTCACAAGCACCATTTGGGGCAACTGCCGTTTGGGCCAACATGGTGCATAAGAGCCACAACTTACTATACTTTCATGATAGAAGATTGTCTATATATTTTTTTTGATCACCAATAGAAGATTGTCTATATACCATAAAAAATTGATAGAACAGATCAAGAATCAAAACATAAAAGATACAAGTGGATTTGGGCAGAATTATTGAGGTTTCTTGAATGTTTCTCATTTATTAGGATGAATGAAAAGTTTGGCTTTAAAACGGGAGCTGCTAAATACACCCAATCACATGCATGCAAGTAGTGGCTTGGCTAAAGGAATTAGGGGGTGTATTTAGAAGTTTCCCCCTCTTGGACATGGGAGATTAGCTGCTTTACCATTAGAATTTTCAAGTGGCACATGAACTTCATACTTGATTTGGCATCTTCATTGGTGATAATTTTGGTTTCTCATCCAGCCCTTTTAATATATTATTTAGGATGAAATTTAAAAAGAATATGGCATATAAATAAGAATAATGATATGTACACTTCTTGACATCATAATTTATTTTCCTGTCAATTGTGACCAAATTGAATCTTATTATGACCTGTTGATTCATACCATAAATTATTATTTTTAAGTAATTATGGCATATTTTATTATCTTTATTAGTTTTATTGTTATTGTTATTATTAATTTGGTTGATAGATTTGTGCAGAATATGGAGGAATTAGGTAGGTGGTCAAACATAAGATATGGATGATGTTGAGGAAATCATGACATGTTGAGAAAATCATAGCCTATTGAGGAAATCATGGGTTTAGATTACATCTCTCTGTGTCTCATGTGGCTAAACCTATAAATAAGTCAAGAGAGATACAAAGAATACATCCAACACAACTCATACAACGTGAATTCTAGGAGTAGTTTCTATCTGGGAGTAGTCACTTATCATTTTAGAAGTAGATCAATGATAGCTTGTTACTATTTCTTTGTCAATCAGTGTATTTCTCGAGTGTTTGTTCTTGTTTAAGTTCATGTGACTTGTGACAATTCCTTTTGATTAATTCAAATTCAGTTCCTTTGTTTCTCTATATTTCTTCTTTACTTAATTGCCTCCAAAGAAGTCCTTAATTTGTTTAAGGCACATAACTCAACCACAAGCTTGATCTGTTTTGTTTTGTAAAAAATAAGTTTTGTCTATTGATTGGCTTCTGTCGATTGGCCTTAACTAAATTTTTGCTGACATAAATTGGAACACTTGGTGGGACATTTCTAATTTGGAGTTATGGAAATGAAGAAGTAGACTGATGTCTATGGAATCATGCCTTCAAGTGGCATGTTTACATCGTGTGCACCTGTGGATGCAAACTGCCAATGGAGTGGCAGTGTTCCCATAGATACAAATTATCAGTGGAATACCTCATATTTCATGTCTAAAGATTGGCAGTGTTATGGTGGTGGTTCTACCATTTATTGCCAACATAATGGCATGACAAATGATGTGGAAAGAATGATTCGGCGTTGTGAGAATAAAATTTATTAGTGTGGGAGTGAAACTTTGGCCCTAAAAGAAAAAATTAATTTTCTTTATAGACAAATATTTTAAATAATTTCATCATCTCTGTATTATTTGGCGCAAAGAGATTTAAATTACTTTGATGAAAAAATTCATCAACTTGAAGGCTAAATTTTCCTAATTGATGAAGAAATTCGATATTGGAGGAAAAAATTAGAAAGCATAATGGCTAATAAAAAATTAAAGTATGAAAATAATGTGGCTTGAGAGGTTAATATACCAATTTTTAGAAAGCCAATTATTTATGAAGTGCCAAGAAATGGGACTCTTAAGGTTAATGCACGTACTTTTAGAGAGCTAATTATTCATGAGGAGGCAAGATATGTGGCTCGGGAGGTTGATATACCTATTTTTAGAGAACCAAGTCATAAAGATGAAATGACTAAGGAAGGTTTTCATAAGCTATTAACGGTCAAAAAAGAAGAACAACCCATTCTCTAAAAAAATATAAAAATGCATCACAAAATGATGGTGAAAATTTACTTGTGAGGCATGATTTTTTGCCAAACATGACAATGAGTGGCGAGCCATTAATGGCTAAAAAAGAAGAACAACTCAATTTCTCAAAAAAATATTAAAATACATCATAAAATGATGATGAAAGTTCATTCGGGAGGGCATATTTTTAGCGAAACATCGCAAAGAGTGATAAGCCATTAGTGGCCAAAATAGAAAAACAACCCCTCATAAAATATTGAGAATTAATCACAAAATAGTGATGAAGATTCACTTGGGGGCATGATTTTAGGCCAAAGATGATTGAAAATTATGAGCAATCCACGTTTGTTGAATGTGAATTTGCTGACATTTTTAAAAGTGTCAAAGTTTATGAATTTTTCATGACATTCAATTATGTGAGTTTGGTATCCAACATCCACTTTGAATTAGTGGATCACACAAAAAATTAAGCTTCATGACATTGTTTGAAAAACAAAAATGGCTGGAAAATGTTATTTGTAATGAATTCTCTTTGATTAGCTAAAACATGGCTAACAAAGAATGGTTTTATTTGAAAAAAATAAGGGATGTGACTCTTTATCTTGTTATTCGACAGAGCCAAAGGTGAGTACCCATCAATTTGTTGGGATCTAGTGATCCCATCCAGGATGTCTAGAGTATACTTTCATGCACCAAACAACCCATGCACATAAAGAAGACAAACAAATTTAACATGGTTTGGCTCAATGCCTACGTCCAAGAGTAACCAAATTTCACTATAGATGGAGAGAATACAAAGATTACAATGGAGGAGGGAACACTCATCCTCGCTCAACTCACACTCAACTCACCCTCTCACACCGAGGGATCACCTTCTCACACAGAGGGTCAATCTCTTTTATTCTGTCATTTTTCTCTCTTGGTTTTCCCCCTCACTTGTTTGCTCTCTCTACCTCTATTTATACAAAAATTGGAGAGCTTAAAGTCAAGCTTGCTTACTGATGAGCCATTGACAACATTGATGGCAGTCACCAACACAATCACCCTATAATAGGATAGCTCAGCTAAAGATCTCCAGCTCAAATCTGCAGTTGCATTCTTTTCTTCATTTTGCAACTTTCTTTGACTTCCAATGGCTTCCGCATGTGTCGCTCCTTACATGGAGCAGAAACCCAACAATCACCCCTTTCTACTCACGTGGGGTGATGTGTCGTATCTGCAACAAAACTTGCTGCAAATCCTGTCACGTCTAAAACTAGCATAGTCTACATTTCCACACTGAGACGCTTGCACCCCCTCACAAAAAATACCTGGCACCCCCTCATCTAGGTGTCCATGGTAGAAGCTAGAGACAAAACACCAGAAAAATACAGAGATACAAGAGGTGTAGGAATCCAACATCCTCAACTCAACTCACACCATTCTTCGATTCTCTCTTGAAGAGAGCCCTTGCTTTATCTCACACATCTTTTCCATTCTTTCCTGTCACGAGTGTCTTTGCCTACCATGCTTGAACATGCGTGATCAAAATATCTGGCACCCCCTAATTGGATGCCTAGGCCTGCACCCATTGCCTGGGATGCCCCATACTCCCTTGAGTGCTCTGTGACACTATAGCTCTTCTCTGAAATGTCTCTAACTTGCCATGCACCACTTTGTATGGTCAAAATTGGAACAACAGAAAACTCTTCATTTTCCTGGTCAACGTTTCCTATTTTTTTTGCTTGGAGCTTCCATTTGAACTATCAGCATTTGCCTTTTGCACTTCTGAACAACCCCCCAGCATTTCTACAAGTTTGTTGCATGTGCCCTTTGCAATCCCTGATCTCCAGTTCAGTAATGAACTTCACCTGCGCATCTCTCACTTGTACTACCAAACTGACGGCTGACAGTAGCTCCTTCTACCAAAGCAGTTTCAACAGGTCTGTACAAGTCACCAACTATGCAATACCTAGCATAGTAACCGCACCCATATTCCTTAGGTGCTCATCGTGGCTTCATCTTTCCTCCTACGCTTGAGCTTGCCTGAGAGATCCGCAACTACTCTGTCTCATCAAGAGGTGCATTTGTCACCACGGAACCAAAACCAACCATTCAGTCAAAATTGAATGCCATATGCTGTACAAAACACGAGCGAATTTCCAAAGAATATAGCAGATTCCATTGCTCAAAAAAATATTGAGCCAATGCACAAAACATGCGGAACCAATCGAGCTAGCTCTTTCGATTTTCTACAACTCAAGCTACACCATGGTGCCAAATTTTGATTTCCACAAGTGCCAAACAAGTTATACTTGACAACTCCAAAAAAACAAAAAAAAAAAACAAAAACATGGTGAGCAAATCCGCTTGAAGCAATGTTAAGGAGACTAAACAAGAGATGGTTCACATTCTCCATCAAAGTAACTTCAAAAGCGGTACCATAAACTTATAGTTCGATCTACCATCGAACACAAAACTGCTATCTTCAAGCTCGAACTAATCACGAGAGCCAACAAATACTCTAAGAACCGAAGCAAGTTCTCCACCAAATAAAAATTGGATCGTGGATGTAGTTAGACTCTAACCAGTTCAGAAGTATCAGAACAAACTTCAGACGAACAAGCCAAGAGCTAAAAATTCTAAAGTGTCGAGCAAACTCTAGATTCCTTCAACTACAATTCCAACTGGTAGACACAAGATGATACACCATCTTTGCAGTTGCCAAAATTGCCCAAAGGCGCATGCACTGTATGTGCACAATTCTAACAGTCCCCATTGACTCCACCGAGTCAACAAATGATCTATCACCTCCAAATCCAATGGCAGATTGATGGATAGATCCCAAAACATAAGATTCAAAATCACCTTCAATCTTCAACGAACAACAACGATCACACCGCTTCCACAGAAGCAAACACATAGAGTCTGAATTGTCACTCAGACCGCTAATAGTTGATGTCTTCAAATATGGAACAGATTGCAAAAATGAAAATCACAAGAGGAAGAAACGATCAAGTCTTACAAACTAGAAGCACCAATGGATCTAATCAAACACAATCATAGATCCCAAATGTGATAGTGAATCTCAACAAAACACAACTCCAAAGAAGTCGCCAATAATTTGTGAAAGACCCCAAAACAATGTCTCCAATACACATTGCAAAAAAGAACGCCAAAGCTCCACCAAGATCTGAAGTAGATTGCCCCAACTTCTCTTTCAAATTGACAAATGCGGACACCAAGGCTTCACCATATGCAGGTATTTCAACAATGATCCATGAAGGATCTCTAATGCCTCCACAGAGGCTAATGCCAATAAAGTACTACTATTTGGACTTATCATACATGACAAATCTTCATAGTATACTGTGCCAATACCCATTCTCTTTATCTCCTAGAGAGATCCCAATGAATTGTGAAGTTCTGCAACTGACCCGAGAGTCTCCAAATGAAATGAGAACTTCTGAATCTGAAGGGTCTTCAAATTGGCTTCTAATTGGCTTCCAATTGGTGAACAAAATTTATCACCCCCATTACCTATATGGGTGATACAATGCCATTGTACAAACACACCTCCATTTCATCAAGCATTTGGAGTGACACTACACCTCCTGCTTGAAATGTCTTTAACCGCCATACATAATCCTGCATGGCTTCCACCTCTATCACCAGGTACTTGCATCATCCAATAAAATACATACGGTTTCCCTATTGAGGTGACTCCACCCAAACTCTCTAGATGCCCGTCGTTACTTCATTGCCATGAACCAAATTCAAGACAAAGCAAGAGATTTGCCTCTCACTGGATGCGCACTGCCGCGTCTTATCCATCTTAATTTCTCTATCTGGAGCTTTCTTTTGTGAATTGGTTGTTACTTCCAGGCCAAAATCCTACACACTGCACCTCTGTACGACTCTGTTGCATACTCTTGCACTGTTGTTCATCTGCACCTTGTACGATACTCCTACGTATCCATCTATGCTCGTAGCTATGTGCTCATGCGCCTTGTGTTTGCACGTCTGCAGCTGTTGCTCTTCCACATTCACATACCACTAGTGCTACTTGTATTCTTTTTTGGTAGTAGCTCCAACTACCACAATATTCCTCTAAGCTTGTATTGGTTGCCAATCATCTGTCTACCGATGAAGTGATCTTCTCCTGATTGAACCAGATCTCTTGATAACCTGGACTCAATAACTAGGAAAGTTTCCAAGAAAGACTGATTGGGTCTCAATTGGTCCTACTTACGAACTAGTCTCCTTAGACATTATAGGTGCCTTTTTGACAACTTTTCTAGACATTGTTGATCCTGAGATAATCATGTACAATCTTCTGATCTGCCGATGAAGTGATCTTCTCTTGATTGAACCAAATCTCCTGATAACCTGGACTCAATAACCAAGAAAGTTTCCAAGAAAGACTGATGGGGTCACAATTGGTCCTACTTAAGAGCTAGTCTCTTTAGACAGTATAGGTGTCTTTTTGACAGAATTTTCCTAGGCATTGTTGATCTTGAGATAATCATGTGCAATCCTTTAATCGCCCCTAACCAATCATGATCTCCCTTAATCTGCCACTTGATCAAGCATGATCTCCTTTGGTCTCCAATGATCTATCTCCTAATCTACATCTGTTTGTCCAATCTGATCAGAATCTCACCATTTTGATCTCTTCAGTGAATTCGTAGCATTTCACAACATCCGACAACCTCCTTCTAGTTGTTGAAGATGACAAACTCACACTTTTGGAAATCTTTAAAAACTATTCAGAATTTCACCATTCTAACACTGCGGTTATGTCTGGAATGGTCCATTTAGCTAGGACCATCGATGCATTTCCAGGGGGCTCACTGAAAATACTCCCCAAAACTTAGGGAAAAATTGTAATTTATGAAAAAATTGGGCCCTCCTACAATTTCTAGAACCACCAGGGAATATTCAATTTTCTCTTAGAATATTCCTTCTGCTGACATCATCTTCGTGTTAGCATTACGTCAACTTATTGTGTCAGCGATGACATCATCTTTGCGTCATGCTAACATCATCACCCCATGGACCCTTCTTGGGCCAGATCTGGGTCAGGTACCATCTGGACTAGATTCGGGTGACGTTATCCGGGTCGGATCTGCATTGGGTCCCTCCTAGACTGGATATGCTTACGTCATCTGTTATGTCAATGCTGTGTCATCCTCTATAAAAAAATATTTTCCAGAATGAAGCCTGGTTGTTTTGAACCCTTGACCTCAGACCTTGCCTATGTCTAGAGAATACAGTCATGCACCAAACAACCCACACACATAAAGAAGACAAACAAATTTAACGTGGTTCAGCTCAATGCCTACGTCCACGGGAGAGTAACCAAATTTCACTATAGATGGAGAAAATACAAAGATTACAATAGAGGAGAAGAAAGCACATATCCTCACTCAACTCACCCTCTCACACCGAGGGAGCACCCTCTCTCACACAGAGGGCCAATCTCTCTTAGTCTCTCATTTTGCTCTTTTGGTTTCCCCACAAACACAATCACCCTATAATAGGATAGCTCAACTGAAGATCTCCAGCTCAAATCTACAGTTGCTAGATTTGTGAAGAATACGAAGGAATTAGGAAAGTGGTCAAACATGAGACATGGATGATATTCAGAAATCATGGCTTGTTGAGAAAATCATAGCCTATTAAGGAAATCCTGAGTTTAGATTACCTCTCTCTCTCTCTCTCTCATGTAGTTGAGCTTATAAATAAGCCAAGAGAGATACAAAGAAGATATCCAACACAACTCACACAACATGAATTCTTGGAGTAGTTTCTATCTAGGAGTAGTCACTCTGCATTTTAGGAGTAGATCAGCGATAACTTGTTACTATTACTCTGTCGATCAGTGTATTTCTCAAATGTTTGTTCTTGGTTAAGTTCATGTGATTTGTGGCAAGTGACAATTTCATTTGATTAACACAAATTCAGTTCATTTGTTTCTCTATATTTCTTCTTTACTTAATTGCCTCCAAAGAAACCCTTAATCAGTTTAAGGAATAGAACTCAACCACAAGCTTGATCTGTTTTGTTTTGTAAAAACTGAATTTTGTCTGTTGATTGGCTTCTATCGATTGACCTTAATTAAATTTTGGCTAACAACACTCTAATTTGAGCTTCTTATACTCCGTTCCCCCCCCTCTCATAAGGGATGTGTACCCCCTCCCCCTCCCCTCTCATAAGGGATGTGTGAGAGATTAAAAGTAGTTTGTGAACATAATTGTTCTTGAAAATTGATGAAAATTAGAAATTTGTTGGACCAATATTACTCTTATCTTGGACTAGCATTCCTGATTAGTGGAGGAAATTTATTTCTAGGTATTGTATTATATATTTTCCTTTCGAAACCCTTGAATTTGTTTAGAATTATATAATAAAAAAACTTTAGGTTAATCATCCACTTTCATTTATTTCTTTTTTCTTAAGAACCTCTCCCCTACATGAAGTATGCTTTAATTATTAAATCTATTGTTTATTTGTAATGTTTTACTCGCTCTGGTTGTTAAGATTTACTATGATATTTTGTATATTCACTAAAAAGTCTCAAGGTCTCAAGTGATCCTTTTCAATGTTAGATACACCCTTTCATTTCTCCTATAGTATTCATGTTTATTAGATATGAGAAGAATATGGGTGTTGGATATATGACCAACACCTGTATCCAATTTAAACACTTGTATCCTCTAATTTTTATATGATGTTTGAAGAGGAAGAAGATCACATTTGCTAATATATAAATACATATATATATATATATATATATTTGCCTACTCTCACATGGTTGAGAGATAGAAATTTATATTTGTTTTATATCTTACTTAATTTTAAGTATATTTCTAAATAATTTACTCGTATCATCTAATAAATTTATATAATATGAATGTAGATATAGATATGTGTATGTTACATATCCTCGTAACTTTTGAATATATATCACAATATCTTAAGATTTAAGATTTAAAAAGTCTTGTACTTGTCTAGGCATCAACAACCGATACTCATACTCACAGTCATGTAACGTAGATGCTTTTATTATAAATAGATCTTATGGCTTATGTATGTTGGCGTATTAGTTGGAAAGCAAACGGAAGAGAGTAAATTGTTGGTTCCACTTGAGGTGTACTACCATTAATTAGAAATTAAAATATTAGTTTTAATATTCACAATTCACAAGTGATATAGTAAAAGCTCAAGAATAAATAACCCTATACAATGAATTCTAATTTTGTGAATTTTGAAAACTATGTATGGATCATGGATTTGTATAGAGATTTTAAAGAGAAAGGAAAAAAGTATGTGACATGTAACTATATGTCATTCATATTTTACCCAACATTTCCCTTTTATTTTCTAAATTCCTACCTAAATCCATAATACAAACACAACTTAAGAGAAACTTTCACGCTTTAGAAAGAACGAACTTTTGATCTTCAAATTTTATAATTGAATGGAAGAAAATTTTATGTAAAATGTACTTCAAATATATTACTTTGATACTTCTTTTAATTGCGAATTTAGCAGTATAGTAAACAAAATTTTAATTTTTGGAAGAATCATGGTTTGATAGTTTTAAAGGACTTATTTCTCAATTGTCTGGAGCTTGTTTTCCTTTTTGGATATTTGGACGTTAAAATGTGGCTTATGCACTTAATGGAAGAAAGAGAAAGAGAGAGAGAGAAACAAAAATATTTATATAAACAACATACCTTTTCAATTAGGTGCAGTATGGTTTGATTGAGGTCGTTTATCCATAGCCAGTCTTCTCCTTCTTTGCCTGGGGACCACTTGTACTTTCCCTCCTTCACAAATACACGTTGCAACTTTGGGGTGCATATGACTCCAGGAGAGAAGGTCTTCATTTTAGGGCAATTAAGGATAGTGACGTCATCTACCAATGGCAAATCCCAATCGTGAGTAACGTGGCAAAAACTCTTGAGCTCTGGTAGATCTTTGAGTACCAAATACTCCAATTTGGGCAATGGTGTTCTGTTTATCCTTCCTCCATCTTCCTCATTTGCAACTACTTCTTCCATCATCGAGCATTTAATTACGGCTAGCCTTTTTAGATGCACAAGATGTCTAGCCATAAAAGGAGAGAACATATTTCTCAAACTGCCACAATTTGAGACAAACAGTGTAATTAGTTTGTTGAACGAGCCGGTTTGAAGTTGATTGCACCATATTTCATTCATGTTCTGAAGTCCATGGAGTACCAATTCCTCCAAGCTAGGGAATGCAACCTGAAAAACAAACAATTGCATTAATATGAAATGTTTAAGAAGGAGATTTACTGCTCTAGTGTCATTAGAGCATTCAACTTCTATGATTCACCTTTTCTAAAGATCTTCGCTCATTTCTAAACAAAGTGAGTGGCAGGGACAGATCTAGGATTTGAGTTTTGGAGGGGGGAAACATATGTAACTTTTCATCAAAAAAAATATTATAAAATTTTAAATTTTGATTTATACCAGCACAATAAATAAATAATATTACTATTAATTGGACATTCTTTGTTAACATAATTGAGAATAAAAATAGAGTTAGACATATTTCTTGTTTGCATTAATTTAACAAAATATTAACTATTACTATGTCTCCGTCTAGTAAAATTAACTATTTGAAAATGTTGTAATCGCCACTTTTTATAATATATATATAAAAATATCTATGTTAAACTCGACATCAAAACCTTAATTAATATCTTTCTCAATAAATATGAAATCATCTTCCATCTTATTACGTAGTTTAGTTTTGAAAATAAATTATAATTGAAAATGTATGTTTTTCTGAGTATAATCATAATCCATTTCAATAAGCAATATTAAATTTTATTAACTTATTTTAAGAATGTCACGTTGAAATCGATAATATTTTTATTTCCAGACAATATTCTTATTTCTAGAGAATGAACAAACAAAAATAAATGTAAAATACCAAAAATTTCATGTCTTTCTCTCTCTCTCTAAAGGCTACTTTCTCTCTCTAAATATGAGAGCTCTGTGTGTGTGTGTGATGAAGAGTAGCTAAGCCTGGTATATATAATAATGGAAGTTAATTTAGTTGGAATATTGGAACCATACCATTTCTAAGTTTGTGACTTTGACTCTGCCTTCTTGTTTCCTTCTCCAGCTAGGGTATAATACGTTATACAGAGAAGAAAAAAAAAAGAAAAAAAGTGAAATTGGGTGATATACAAAAATAAAAAAGGGTTTACGTGTAGGTCTTAATAGGTAAACTTATTGTTCATTAGATTCTGTGAGAATTCATGGCGTTTTTTTATCGAACACTATTAAAAAAAATGTCACTAATTGTCAATTTTCAGCAACAGTTTAAAAATTGTCACAAAACAATTTCGTTAATTTTCAACTTTCAGTACAGTTTGAAAAATTCATTACAGAAAAATATGACTAATTGTAAGTTTTAGCTACAATTTATAAAAGCCAGAAAAAAAGTCACTAATTATCATATTTTAGCGACATGTAAAAAATTATCACAAAAAATTATTTTTAATAACAATTTTATTAAAATTTATTTTCAATAAAACTTAATAAAAATAATTTTAACTATTAAGACTTATTAATAATTTACTCTAACTTTTAAAAAAAATTGGAGTGCGACCGCCACAACCCGCCCCCTAGATCCGTCCTTGGTGAATGGTTAATATTTCTAAGAAACGGTTGCCTATTCTTTGATGACTTGTGTAGAATATTCAGTCATGCTTTCTTCTACCTGGCTACTTTTATCACACATGAGATAAGTTTAAGCTGTTTCGGTAATTTGAGGAACAATTATTGTAAACTACGTTATTCTAGTATTCTTTTATATATAAAACACATTATTTTAATAATTTTAATAATATTATGATGGTCCTATTTTTTTAGGCAAATTTCACTTTACTCTTAGATTTACTTTAAGTGCGATTTATCTTTTTAATATTTGGAATAAACAGATAGTTCTTTGTAATTTGTGGAATAAATATTTCTTTAGACAAACCTCAGTTTACTACTTGATTTACTCTATGTCTGGTTTACCCTCTGTCATTTACAAATAAACATATAACTCCTTCTAGTTTGTAAACTACATTTTTTTAAAGTAAATTTCACTTTACTCTTGTGGTTTACTCTGTGTGACTTACCTCCTGTCATTTGAAAATAACCTAATTGTTATAATTTGTGAATTAAAGTGTACGGTTACATATGAAAGACATTAACAAGTGTGAAACACATTCCAGGATGTAAGAGGTAAATCACAAATAGAGTAAAACACAAGAAATATTGAAGTGAATTTTGCCTTATAAAACACTTACGAAATACTTGTGGTTTGGACAATGCCGTTACTTATGTACAAATGTATTTTAGCCTTTCAGCTTACACTTTGGTCCACAAACCACAAAGAATTAGTTCCCAATGACAAAGGGGTTATGCACACATAGGCCACACTACATGAAATTGAAGTGAATTGACCCACTTTTTTATATATTATATTTTTATGTATCAACACAATATTGGTAAGATAATTTTTTTTTTTGAATTTTTTCTTGAATATTTATAATGTAAAAACTGATTCCTTATCGATATAATAAAACATACATATATAATGTAAAAAATAAATAGTTAATATTTTTATGCAATAATATATATACACATTTATAAATATTTATTGGGAAAATTACATTTTACCCCCCTCATCTATTGTACTTGAACTAAAAGTTTTAACACTTAACCCCCTTTAAAAAAAATTCTTAATTTTTTTTTTGAAAAAAACTACAATTTGTTTTACCCCTGCAAAAATTGTTTAATTTTTAAGCTAAAATACAATTTTTTAGTTTTTTTTTAAAATTTTTTTTCATACTTTAGAAAGGAAATTTAAATTTTTAGATGACTTAAAAGTAAATATTTGTGAAATATTTTTAAAAAATTCACTAAAGATGAAAAAAACTGGTATATTTTTGTATTTTTTTGTCTTTAGTTAATTTTTTTAATAGATTTTTCATAAATATTTCCTTTTTAGATGCATCTAGAATAGATGTACCTAAAAATAAAAAAGTTCTAATTAAAACTAAAAAAAATTCATTAAAGACAAAAGAAAAACAATATGAAAAATTAAAAAAAAAAAACTCAAAAATAGTTTTTTAAAACTAAACCAAACAAACTGATAATGTTATTTTAGGCATTCCATTTGAGATGTCATGTATAAGTCACATGTCAAATTTTAATGTATTTAAGAAACATATTCTTAACAAAATATTTACATTGATATAAATTTATAATTTGAAGTGATAAATGTATTATTGTTCAGTTGAAGGGGTTAAGTGAGATTAGGTGATAGTTCAAGAGAGTAAAATGCAATTTATCCTATTGATGATAGGGTATTTTCATCATAAAAGTCCAAATTGAAAAAAAATTAGTAGACGAGGAGAGTTAGATGTTACAAATTTTAATTGAGAGGAGTAAACTGATATAATTGATATAGATAAATGTAAAAAAAAAAAAAAAAAAAAAAAAAAAATTGGTCAATTGATAAGAGAGTAATTACTAATATAAAAGATATTTTTATCATCAATTAGACTACAAAGATGTAATTTATTCATATTTTTTTGGATTTTTTTTTAATTGTCATGTGAGCATGATTTTAACATGTCATATCCATATCTATGGTTCTAAATATACCATATTAATTATTTGAAAATGGGAAAGGAAAAATCACACATGAAGTTTATTTCATATTTAGTAATACTGATCCGAGTTTCCCTATAGAAATTTAGATCTTTTATTGTATAATCACATTTTATGACACAGTATTAACTCTCTCTCTTTTTTTTTTTCTTTTTTTTTCTTTTTTTTTTTTTTTCTCTCCCTAGATTTCAATTTTCACATTTTTTTAAAAAAATTATTTACAGCAAATCTTATTAGAACGAAGAAACTATGTCAAAGTGGAAAAATCAAAGTTTTGCAAAGAATAACTGAGATGCTTCCATGGATTCAGAACCTTGTCCCCATAATAAGAATAGAATGATTACTTTTTCTTATAGAAAAAAATTAAGAAAGAACGAAAGAAAGAGAGAGAAGACCTTATAAGAAAAGAAAGACTTGTGGACATACCTTGTGGGGGAAAAGAGATAGGAAGGTAGCATTGTGGTTTTCCATTGACTCTGAAAACGGATTACTGCTATTGAGGAAGAGCCACTTGAGTTGTGGTAGATTCTCAAGACTCAATTTCTTCAATTGAGGGAACTCAATCTCGTCAATCCCTCTGCAAAAACCAATGAGCATTGGTAGATTGAACAAAGTCATGGATTCTAACGCGGGAAACTCCATCTTGTTTGTTGCATCATCTTGTCCTTTTTCCTTCAAAATAACTTCTTCCATTCTATCACAATTCTTGATTTCAAGACGTTCTAGTTTTCCAAAAGAGCCGGTTGGAAATTGGCAGTGACATATCTTTCTTAAATTGGGTAAATCATTGAGCTCCAATTTCTCCAAGATAGGAAAAATAGGAGGAATAGCATTAGGTGTACGCGGGACCCATTCCATTGTATTGACAAAACATTCTGGTGTAGCACAATCTTCAATTGCTAGGTTCTTCAAGTGTTGGAGTCCTTCAACTCCCTCTCGAAACAACTCTTGCACTGCATCCTCCGAACCCTCCCCTGTTAACCATACAACTGCACTACTCCTTAACAACGAATTGATCCCACCACATTCTAACGGGATAGTACACGTGTCACGAAGTCTGAGACTCAAAAGCTTTCGGACCCTTGTTATGTATTTTTCAACAAAAGTGCGGTTGGCTCCATAACCTATCAAAATTGAGTATTTTGTCAATTTGCTAAACAATGGGATTCTTGGCAAACACACGACATCTTTTATATTAATCTCTAAAGTATTCAAATTGGACAAGGATTCCAACTCTCTTAAGCTCGCATTTTCTCCTCCTTCCTTGCCTTCTCGTTCCCAAATGATTTCGCAGCCACCCATGTACAACTCTTGTAATTGGACTAGGGCTGATATGACCCCAGGTATTATTCTTTTAAGTTTATCACATCTTGTCAGATCTAACAACTTTAAATTAACCAGTCCTCCTATTTCCTCAGGTAACTCCTCAATGAAGGAATCACGAAAGCTGAGAATTTCCAGATTCAATAGCTTTCCAATTACAGATATATTATTGAACTTCTGACATTGATCAAGATGCAATGTCAACAGGTTGCTCAAGAATTGCAGTGACGACGGCAATAACGAGATGTCATTCGTGATTGCCAGGTCCAAAACTTTGAGTTCTCCCATGCCCTCAAAAAAATTGCTTGGTATTTTTAGTGAACTATTCCAACATTGTATTTTTAAAAACTCAAGTTTTGAGCATTTCAATCCTCCTGGAAAGTCTACAATTTTATTTGATATCACCGAAATGGAAGTGTTAAGCTCATATGTCGCCTTCTTTGGCCACTTTCTCGATTTGGCACCATGGATTATCATAAAACCATGCTTATCTTTAGCCGCAATTGATATGGCGACATTGCGCACTACATCATGCATTTTTATTAGCAACTCTATTCGTGGCTCGCGATCAACATCCAACAATAAATAACAACTTCTAAGTTGATCAACTAAGACATGCACTCGATCTCTTACTTCATCCACTTTGTCGATGCCTTCAAACCACCGCAATCCGATTCCATATCTAACCAATTCTTCAATACGAATTTCAGCGTCTTCTCGAAACAAGCAACAGAGCAGAAACAACTTCTTGGCTCTCTCATCTTTTAGAAAATTGTAACTAAAATATAGAGCTTGATACACTGTTGCAGGCACTTCTGACGACAAACTTTCTGAACAGGGGGTTCTTAGTTGTTCAAGCGCATTATTCCAATGATGTTGGTCGGTTTCGTTTGTAAGAGCCCTTCCGATAGTTACGAGGGCAAGTGGTAAACCTCCACATTCATTTACAATCTGTTTTGCTAGTGGTAGCAGATCAAGGTTGTCAGCACAATCGCCTACCTTCTCTCTAAAAAGATGCCATGGTTCTTCACCCACTAGGACTTCAAGTTGGATATACCTTTTATTTGGTATTCCTTTCCATAGATTTCGATTTCGTGAAGTGAAAAGGATCTTACAACTCTTGTTGCTGCCTCCTTCCAAAGGAAATCCCAACTCCTCTAGTTCAAATTCTTCCCAAATGTCATCCAATATGACTAGAATTTTCTTATTGTCTAGCAGAAGTCTCTTGCGCAGGAGACTTGCTCTTGCTATCGGGCTCTCCCAGTCATGAAGTTCGAGACCCAACATGCCTGCAATACAACTTTGAACCTGTTTCAAATTTGGCTCTTGGCTGACAACTGCCATTGCAACTTCATTAAAGAGTTTCTCCTCTTCCACTCCTTTGGCAACATGTTTGACCATTGTTGTCTTGCCCACTCCCCCCATCCCGCATACCCCAACCAAGTTGATCTCGTCATCCTTCAGAGCCTCGATGATTTGCTTCACAATCAAATTTCGAGACTCAAACCCCTTGAATCCTGTCGAGGGTAGAGATTGGATGGATGGTGGTGGTGGACTGTGGGACAACTGAGTGTACTTGATGCCCTCAGTATGAAGATGGACAAGATCTTGAGTTATTTTCGCGGCTTTTCTACTCAGTGAGTAACGGGGCCAACACCACCCTTTCAAACATCCCTTCTCAACTGGGGCCTTCGATTCAATAGTTGTCTCTGCCTCTGCAATTTTGTTATTTGCATTAATCAGCCATGCCTCAACGAGAGGTTCAACGATTCTCACATTATTGCGTGCTTCATTCACCCCTAGCTGAACCCCTTCTCTAGTCGCTTTTAGGACATCATGTTGAGTTTGAAGATTCTGAATGTTTCCGTTGAAGCAAAACAGATAACCAAATTGACGTCCAATTGGATCAACCAAGTTTTCTCCTATTTTTCCCAAAATGGCATAACCAATTCCCTCAGCCATTTAAACTTCTTCTTCTCCTACTGCTGAAGCTGTTTTGATTCAAAGTAAAAGAAATCAACAAGCAAATACAAGATGAAAATCCAGAACAGATCCACAAACCAAAGCAAGTAATTGTAATTGTAATCGTAATGTTAATTTAGGGGCAAAGACTATGGTACACGATATGCAGCTTATAATTAAAGGAAAAAAATGATATAATTCCTTACTTTTTGAGTGATAATTAAAAAAAATAAAAAAAAAACAAAAAAAAACAGCTTGTATTTTCTTGTTTTTGGTCATACCTCATGTGATACCTAAAAAAGTCATAACCAAATATCACATGAGGTATGACCAAAGATCTCATGAGTCATACCTAAAATAATGTCATAACTAAAAAAGAAAATTGGTTATAACTAAAGAAGAAAATAGCATAACTACGAGGATATATTGTACACCCCTTTTAAGGGCGTGTATACTAAAAAAGAAAATTAATTATACCTAAACAAGAAAATAGCATAATTACGGGTGTATATTGTATACCCCTTTTAAGGGCGTGTATAGTAGAATTTCTCAAGATACAATTTTAAAAATTCAAATTTATATTTTGGATTTTTTTATTTTTTTATATTTTGCATTCGGTGGTCTTTATTTATTTATTTATTTAAATTTGTGTATAAAATATTAATTATTAACTCAGTCTAATCTAGTATAGGAGAATGTACATAAATAAACAATTAAAAAGACAAAATTCGAAAAAAAAAAGTAACTTTTTTTTTTTTATCTTAGTGGATTTTTTTTTCAAAATTTTTATTTTTAACTTTAGGTCTATATAGCTGAGTAAAATTTAAGAGTGTAAATATTCTAATAAAAAAGAAATTGAAAAGTTCACTATAAACTAAAAAAGTCAACAAAAAATACGTTAAAACAACCAATTCCAAACACACACACAACAAATATATTTGGGTTAATTACATTTTTGGTGTCCATAATATGATATTTGTGCCATTTTGGGAATTGGGAGGCACAACAACTATTGTTGTGCAGTCGATGGACATCATTTTGGGTCTCATTTCGATAATTCGAATAATTTACTTTTTAGTGTAAATCGAGTAGAATATATCTACAGAAAATCAAATTAATCGGACATCGATAGTCCATTCATCGAATTGCATTTGTATCTAAATAAATAAATGGTAAATCTAATTTGAAATAAAAAAAAAAATTATGTACAAATGCAACTCGATAAAAGGTCTATCGATATGCTATCACTTTAATTTTTGGTAGGTATACTCTTCTCAATGTATCCTAAAATGTGAACGGTTTATATTATTGAAATGGCCCTTGAAATGAGGCTCATCAGCCGCACAACAGTTGCTATTGTACGTGTTGGAAATTGGGCTAGATATTGGACCCGAATTTGGGCGCCCATGTGGCATGACCCATGGCTCATTCAAATTACCTATGTAATTTGAATTTGATTTTTCCTGATTATCCTATTTGTTAGGATAACCCTCTATCTATCTACATCTATCCTATCCTTAGGAGATATGGATGGATTGATATATATGGTTATATTTCTGATTATATATTTGAATATATTGATATCAAATACGTTATGTTGATTTTACCCATAACATTTGTTTTCATACTCTCCCTCTCTAACTCTCTCCCATATGAAAAACGATCAAGCCTTTGCACTGTGATTAGAGTGGGTGATACTTATACTGTGGTATCACCCCACTGCTGGGGATTCTTAGTTCATGATTAAAGAAGCATGTGATTTACCCACAAGGTTCTCGTTTCGGATTCTATCACACAAGGTATGGTTTGAATCCTTTTACCCACTGCGTTATATATATCTTAAAATATGGGACGTATTTTGTCAATTTGGTTCGCAATGTATAAAATGTATTTAAATTTAGTCCCAATGTTTAAATTGCTTCAATTTAGTTTTCAATATATAAAAAGTGTTTCAGTTTTGGCACAACAAAATACACACGAAACTAGGTTGTAGACGAAGACTTTTGAATCCACAAGAAAGAAACCCTGGAATCCACAAGGAAAATAAAGTAACTTGAAAATTATATTGATGGAAAATGCCTTTGCCTCTAGGCTTACATAACTATGTATACTAGATAAAGACTTGGTCACCATGCATACTTGGAGACCAAGTAATATAAAAAGAACTAATTAACTAGGGTAGTACTAGTCTTGGTCAACAAGAATACTTGGAGACCAAAGTATAGAAAAATATAAGAAAATAATAAACTAAGATAATACTAATCTTGGTCAATCAAAATACTTGGAGGCCAAGTATTACAATAAAGTTACTAATTAGGATAATCCTTGGTCACCAAGAAAAATTCTTGGTAACCAAGTAAAACTTGTTTAAAACTATCATTTTATCCTTGGTCAATAATTTGATTTCCTTGGCTTGTGTTTGTCTAACTTGTTTAAAACTATCATTTATTCTACATTAGCTCCCTCTACTTGGAGAGAACTTGACCTTGAGTTCAAATCTGGGTAGAAAGACTCGTCTGCATGATACTCAAAAAGATTAGAAACATTGAAAGTCTTGGAAATCTTCCAATCTCCAGGCAAATCAATCACATAGGTATTGTCATTGATCTTCTTCAAAATCTTGTATGGACCATACTTCCTTGGCTTTAGTTTGTTGCATGTACCCATTAGAAATCTGTCTTTGCACAAGAACACCATTATTGAATCTCCTTCTTTGAACACCTTGGTATGCCTGCGCTTGTCAGCTGCTTCTTTGTACCTTGCATTGGTTTCTTCTAGTTTCTATCTCACATCATCTTGCATTGCTTGAGCTTGTTTAGCCATGGCCTCTGCTACAACACATACTTTCGGACTTCTTAGTAGACGAACCAAATCAACTGCATTCCTTGGAGGTGTCACATATACCACAGAGAATGGTGACTTTCCAGTGGCACTGGAACCACATTGTTGTAAGAAAATTCAGCTTCACATATGCTTCAAACCAAGTTTCCCAAAGTTTTGTTAGTCACCTCGGTCTGACAATCTATCTGTGGATGTGCAGTAGAGCTTCGATTTAATGAAGTATCGAATGTCTTCCATAGAGTCACCCAAAAATGGCTAAGGAACTTCGCATCACGATCGGAAGTAATAGATTGAGGTACTCCATGCAAGCGAACAACCTCTCGAAAAAAACAATCGAGCCTCATTGGATGTGTCAGAAGTCTTTCAACAAGAAATGAGATGTGCCATATTAGAAAACCTATCAACAACCCCAAATATAGAATATACTTCTCGTTCGGTACGAGGGAGTCCCAACACGAAATTCATAGACAAGTTTTCCCAGATATTGTTAGGAATAGGTAAAGACATATAAAGACCAGTATTTTGAGATTAGCCTTTGGATATCTGACATGTGTAGCACTTCCTTACAAAATTCCCAACGTCTCACTACAATTGAGGCCAAAAGTGACGTTCCTCTAAGGTTGCTATGGTCTTGTCTCTACCCAAGCGCCCGCTCAATCCTCCTCCATGTAGGTCTCAAATTAGCTTTTCCAGAAGAGATGTCTTGGGAATGAAAAGACGATTTTCCTTGAATAAATATCCCCTAGTGACATGAAAATCATTGATAAGTTTATTCTCTTTACATTTATCACATATCTCTCGAAAGTCTTCATCTTTTAGGTAAAGCTCCTTCAAGAACTCAAATGCCACGATCTCATGGGTCAATGTAACTAGCAAATTTGCACGATGACTCAACGCATTTGCAACCCCGATTCAAAGTTCTTGACTTGTGCCAGATAGTGAAAGGAAACTTCCGAAGAAATGTAGACCATCTGACACACATGTTGCTTAGGTGCTTCTGATTGTTAAGGAACTTCAATGCTTGATGATTTGTGTATAGGACAAACTCCCGCTACATTAGGTAATGTTCCCAATGCTTGAAAGCTCTCACCACTGCATAAAACTCTTGGTCATAGGTACTCCACTTTTGTCAGGCTTCACTCAGTTTTTCACTAAAGAAAGCCACCCGTCTCTTTTCTTGTGAAAGAACTGCTCCAATTCCTACACCGCTAGCATCACACTTTACCTCAAAAATCTTTTTGAAGCTAGGTAGAGCTAATACTGGTGCGAAGAAAAGCTTCTTTTTAATCAAAGCAAAGCTCTTCTCAGCATCTTCTCCCCAAAAGAACTTTCCCATCTTCATGCATTCTATAATTGGCATTGTGATTGAACTAAAATTGCAGATAAATCGAAGGTAGAATGTAGCCAACCCATGAAAGCTTCGAACATTACTAACGGTTTTTGGCGTTTGCCACTCTCAAATGGCTTGATCTTTTTCTCTATCCACATGAATACCTTCTAAACTAACCACATACCCCAGGAACAATACACTACTTGTCATGAAACTGCACTTCTTGAGGTTAACAAACAACTTATTCTCCTGCAAAACTATTAGCACTTGCCGCAAATGCTCGATATGGTCCCTTTCAGATTTGCTATAAATCAAGATATCATCAAAATAAACAACTACAAATTTTCTAGTAAATGACCTCAATCCCCGATTCATAAACCGCATGAAAGTACTAGGACCATTCAAAAGTCCGAATGGAATAACCAACCACTCGTAGAGGCCATCCTTGGTTTGAATGTTGTCTTCCATTCATCTCCCGATCGGATTTGAATTTGGTGATACCTGCTTCGTAAGTCAATCTTTGAGAACCACTTTGAACCTTCAAGCATATCAAGCATATCATTCAGACGTGGAATAGGAAATCTGTACTTGATGGTGATTTTGTTAATAGCTCGACTGTCAACACACATCTACCAACTTCCATCTTTCTTTGGTGTCAAAAGAGCTAGAACGGCACATGGGCTCAAACTTTCATGAATATGCCCTTTTTGTAGCAACTCTTCAACTTTCTACCTCAAAATCCTATTCTCCTTGGGGTTCATCATATAGTGCAGTAATTCGGCAAACTTGCTCCTAGCACAAAATCAATTTGATGTTGGATATCCCTCATCGGTGGTAGCTCATTGGGTAGTTCATCAA